ATTTGGTGAATGGAAGACACTTTCACGGCCTGCAGCTGTGTCAAATGAACTGACGCACACCGCTCTCTCTGCATCCTCCCCTCTTGCCATCATGTAGTCACGTCTACAGGCACGTGCAAGTCGCACAGAGTTATTTTAGCAGAAAAACTGTTTTATTTCGTCTTGTAGGCTTTGAAACCCCTTCAGAACGGATTCGGCTACTGTAATTATACTTACTTTAATTAAAACTTGTAAACTAACATAAAATCCTTTCCCTTTAGGTCAGCTCTTGTCTCGCCATTTGGTTACTCATTACAAAGAGATGCTTTTGGCTGATTTGTTTACCTTAACACTGCAACACTTTGAAATTTAGGTCAGTTAAATGTACGTGTTGCAGGTGTCCCGAGACTTCCACGACGAAGGCCGAAGGCATTTAATGCTGTCAGAAGGTCGGATCTCTAAGTAAGCCATCGTGATTGCCTTAGTAACCGTAATCGTACTCGATAGTCAAATGTGCAACAAAGCTCCTCTGTCCTCGCTTTGATCAGCATCGCCCATCAGGCATCACAAGTCAATCAAAACTACTCCCCAACGCCTTTGCAACCGAGAGGAGGTGGTTGATCTCAACTTCTCACTGATCTCTCTTTATATCTTCAACTGAATTTTGAGGAGCGTCCGATTTGACAACGAAATTTAGAGACCAACGATTTGCTTTTAAAGAGCGTAATGGATTGTATCCACTTTTCACACACAAAACGGAGTCAGTTTCAATGCTTAATGGCAGATATCATTAGGTTGTACATGCATGTGGTGGGTGGTGAGTAAACGGAGACACTATTCTTGGTTCGTCCTCTGAGGCAAGCCCTTGTAACCTGCTATAGACGTTATCGCATTGGCTTTGGTAACTGCTACCACCAGCATAGCCTTCCAAGACTTCCTTGTAGACAGACGGGGATATAAAATGTTCTCAAATGAAAGAGCTTGCAATTTTTGGTATAACACAATGGCCACCTCCCTCCTCTCCCTCCTCCACTACACTAAACAAAGTATTACACTTTTGTAAAGTCATAAACAATGGTAAGAATTTTCACCGAATCGCAAACTCTGCCTCAGCCCTGCCTTGCCTCTCTGCCCTGCACACGTACTGCCGGTTGGAGAATTCTCGAAATTGGATGCATGTTAGGCAACTTGATTTGACCTAGTGAGCCCGTATTTACTGCCGTGTTGTCTTGTGCTTATTTTGCCAATGTAAACACTTGATCAGACCTTATGCGTACTTGTGTTAAATTTCTAGCCAAAGTTAAGATAATGCAGTGGCTTTAAAAGGAACTTCAGATTTTAAATTTTATGTGCCTCTCATCACAACACCTTTAAATGTACGAATTTTCGCTCAGTCACCTCCAGCCATTTCCTGCCTCGACAGAGCCGCGCCTGCACCACAATCATGAGCCTGAGATCACGAAGTACCTTCCAAGCGTCCTATATTATGCATGTGGTCATGAATAAACAAGCATCAACGTCTAACAACCCTCTACAAGGACAAACCACCTTCTGTTACGATTTGGAGGACACGGAGAGGTATAAAGTTTTTATTGTCGTTTGATGTCTTGCTAAAAATTGCAACACTGGGCTACAATTTGGGTTAAAAGACGGACGCGTATTTGAAGTTATTGCTAACTGCAAAATTAAGCTTTTCCCTATTCGGGAGCGCTCGACAGACCTTATTTGTAGTAGACTTTGAAAAATTCAGAGCTTAGAGGCAGTAGGGTCATTTTCACTTGAGCTATTGCATTGTTTATAGCACCTTCGGTAGGCATAATAACCTATTCCATTCCACTGCACCGCCAGCAGGACTGGGGGATGAATTAAGTAGTCGTCATCACAAAAAATTACTACTTTCAGGTTGCATTTTCATATAGCGGACATTAGGTGGATAGTTTATTGCCTTTGTCAATCATTCCAAGAGGAGAACTTGGAACGCTTAATTCCAATGGGTATTACAAAGCCTAATAATTACATTATAATGGTCCTACTTAAATTAGAAAGTAGGCATGGTGTATGCAGAACACACATGAGGACTTTCCGACGCGATGCAGTGTCAGGGGGGAGGGAGTTACAAATTTGGTATTTTAATCACCAGTATGAACAGAATAGATTTTTCCTTCGCATTGTGCAATGTGGTATCTTGTTTTAAGCCACTATTTAGACAGCAAAAAGCTAAGCTCATCTAACGATCTCCTCTTTCATAGCGCATATCATTTTACGAGACGGACTAATTGAGGTAAGAAAAATATCGTAATAACGCTAGCATTAAGCACGAAATAGCTGCCATACAGAGGCCATTTTAACAGTGGATTTCTTTCTATGCCATCTAATTAAGTCTTAATAGGCTGAAATTTCTAGTTACCTATGCCAAGTATGCAGCGATGGTAATTTGGTGCAGTTAAAATAATTCCTTTGTATAATGACTCCCTCCTACACCTCAGTTAAAAATATGAAGATTGTGGAGGCAGCCATAATTCCTTTGTTAAAGCGACTTTAGCTTCTTCCTAAAAAAAAGTGTCCAGCATATTTTAAAAAAGGTGACCTGTTTTGGAGTGGCTACTGCCTCTGCACCACCTGGACATTGCTTGCCCCAAACCACACCTCCATGGTGCTGCAAAATTAAATTCGATCAGTGGCAAAACGATCTAAGGGCAGAAAAATGCGGATCTTGCAGAAAAAAATGCTGCGAAAGGCCACACAAACGCAATACTAATGAAAGGTTTAACTGCGTATGATGCAACGCACAAAGCGAATTGAGGACATAGTGGCGTAAGAATGATTGTAAATAAAAGGCGCATTTTCTCTTGTGGGTGCTTATTTTGACGTGGTATGCTCACTGGCGGTGGTGGGTGTGGCGTCAACAGCCCCTCCAACGATTTCACCGCCCCAAGCGTTGAGTGAGTTAGCAGTGTCTCTCCTTGAGGTTGCACCTTCTCCCCAGTTGATAATATGTTTCCCAAAAATTTGCCTTCTAGGCCAATGTTTAGGCAGCCAATGTGCTTTTGTGGCTGTTGTAACATTCATCACAACTCCACTCGGTCTGGAAGTAAAATAGTGAATGGAGGGATGAGTGGTGTCTCGGGCCAGCGGCCACAAGTCCTCACCTTTCCTGAAGCCAAAACTCCCGTAGGTTTACTTCCACACTTACTTATCTCCCCTGTTTACAAAACTGTCTGGCTTACCTTTTGTGCTCTTTTTACCACCAGATTTCAGGCTTTAACGAAAGTAGACGAATCAACGTGACCACTTCAAATGCCACTACCTGGAAGGCGGATTTTCAATGTCCCAGTCATGCAAGCTGTAAAGGCAGTGAGGTGATTCACTTTGTAAATCCACCTTTTTATACCTTCTGTAGATGGGAAAGTTGTCTTCTAAAATTATTTTCACAATAAAAGTTACCGTTTCCTCTTTTAGAAACAACAGCAACCGATGGATCAAATGCCTCAACAACGCTGCTGCTTCCCGCCATTTATGGGCGGAGGGAATGTTGAGATTGTGAAGGTCGGTGAAGGTACGTGTAGATTACCATGGATAGCACGAAGATAATACTCTTTGTTGTTAAGTCAGTAATTTCATTTTCAGGTCCTCCTCTTACGTTAGCTGATCTTCAAAGGCATGGTAAGTAATGTTAAAAGCCTTAAAACTAAAATTTGCACATTGTACGGCTATAAAAGTGTCCCTCCTGCAACAGGAGCCTTTCCATTTCCCGATGGAGATGAATGGCCTGCGCATATGCATCCACAACGCGCCTCGTCAGTGCAGCAATCAAGTCACATAGCAGTACAAGAGTGTCCCACTTGGAGGCCTATCACCATACCTGAATGCAAACGTACACCAATCTCTGAGTACAGCAACTGGTCACAGCGAAAGAAGTCGGCACAACAGATGCAAGACCTGCAGCATGATTTTATGATTCATCAACCTTCATCACCGCCTGCAGCACAAGGAACTCCAAAGCCCATGGTCTCCGAATCGGGCTGCTTCTGTGATCAAGGGAAGTTGGTCACAACCACGGCACAGACAGAAAACCCCGTCTTCCATCAACCGCATCACTATCCGATGCTAATGACACCCCACGCATGCAATCAGTGTACTTGTGGTGGCCCACCATTTAACCCTGAGCCTTGGAAAGCCGCTAGTGACGCGAACGGCGAAATGCAATTCGGGCCTGTTTTAGAGGTTCAGCAAAAGAAATTCAGTTTACCACCCGCCAGTCACCATTCGCCTGAACAGCGTACCAGCTACCGTGCAAAACGCATATACTAAACACTATATCTTATGCCCATTTTACATCTTATTTTGATCTGCGTGACTAAAAATCGCCAAACGTATTCTTGCTAACTTTAAGTTTTCTGGACATTCCTGACGTTCGTCAAGAACAGTGCTTTGAATAAGTTGAAACGTTCTAATGCCTTTGCTACCTATTTAATGTAAGTAGTTAAAATATTTAGATTTTAGACGACCTTGAAATATGTATTGATTCAACATAATTCCTTAATGATTTCATCTTGCATATTTTAGCATTGTTGACGGCATCATGCCGGTACGGTTAAGAAATATATAGATATTTCCATAAATATTTCCTTCAGAATCTGCTCTGTCGTCAATAGGTTATGTGTAAAAGATGGGAAGCGGGCGGATACCAGAGGCACGTCTTCCTCAGCCCCTCCGTTGCAAGAAAAGGAAGGGAAAAACCCTGTTTCTAGCATATGTGACTCCTCTGCTCCATCAAAATATGCCCATAGGGGCATTTGCTAACCTTAAGACAAACCTGTAATGTGCCATTGGTAAAAAGCGCAAATTTCCCTTGTAGACTCACAAGAGGTCTCAGACTAGATTGGGCGGTCCATAAAGATAATGGTACATCACAGACTTTGATTCAGATCCTGCTAGTCAGTCATTTACGTCTCTGTATACGCTAAGGGTGTATATCGTGGCTGGATATTGGGACGTCTTTAGCTTTCAGTGCAGTCTCGGGGCCCATAATAATCTTTTATCAGTGAATTTTTACAATTACTACTTAAGCACAAGGATCCCTTATTGGATTTTCCTATTAACTTTTACTTTACATACAAGTGTTGAATGTAAAGGAAGTACAAAAACGCCAGTATTCCTAGAGTATTTAGTAGGCAAGAAGTTAAAAGGAACCTTGAGCTGGGATAGCAATTGGATTCGGTAGATAGAAGAAAAATTTAACGTCTTTACGCCTTTTTGCCACTCAAGTGCCTCCGATATACGTAGCACTAGCAAACCAGACGCCCCAAAATAACCGATGCCAGTAAACTGGATCCAACAGAGGGGAAGAGGATTAAGGAGGGACCGCTAAATCCGCTTTTGAAACTTTTCGTTGTGTATTTAGTTTTGAAATCTTTCCCCTAAGGAACCGCTTTACTAATCCCATAGAGGTCTCAAATTCCTTCGGGTCAAAATTTTTGCAAAATGAATGAATCGGTTCCTGTGCTCATCACTTTGGCGCTCAACTTGTACACGACGTATTGAAAGTAATCGCTTACGGCACTCGAATCCAGCAGTCGTTTCTGGAGTTATGGTAGGTAGCTGAAGACATGAAGTGGATTGTGGAATTAGTATGAGAAGGCCTCGCTAACATCCACTGGTATGCGATTGTTAGAGAGAAAGGATAAAATGGAGGTGTGTGTTCTCGCTGCATGTCGAGTGGTCAGCAAACGATCCACCCCAACGTGGGCGTCACAGCACCCACCACTGGCTCCACACTCCCACCACGACGTCCACTGTGGACGTGGACCAACGCTTCCTTCATCATGACTGCCTCCCACTCATCCACTGCCCACCACTGAGCGCCTTTCTCCACTTCCTACTCTCGAGGCGGCGAGTCACCTTCACCGTCAGCTGTTCCACTTCGTTCCTGCTCGAAGTGGCAGTGCCACCAGTGTGGTTGTGGTGGCTTTTGTGGCGTAAGATCGACCACGTGGACTCGTCCTCGATGGTTGCATTCGACCGACAATTTGGTGAATGGAAGACACTTTCACGGCCTGCAGCTGTGTCAAATGAACTGACGCACACCGCTCTCTCTGCATCCTCCCCTCTTGCCATCATGTAGTCACGTCTACAGGCACGTGCAAGTCGCACAGAGTTTTCTTATAGCTCTCTTCGTGTGGATCAAAACTTCATATTTCTCTCTCCCCGCCTTACCTAGAGCTGGTATTTTT